GAACCGCTGTGTTAAACCATGACACACCACAACGCAAATTTAATTTGGCCCGAGGCTCCCCAAGCCTCAATGAATCCCGAGAAATCTTTAAAGAATTCGCATCAATGATCATGGAAGTTATAATATCATTAGCCCACACACCTCAGTGGTTAATACAAAACTGGGCCTTACCTAAGACTACGAGGAGTATCTTCTGAAAGGCACTAGACAAAGCTTTCCCAGCTGCGAGTTTCTGAGCTCTTCTCATGGCTGTGACAAACTCGAGCGGATCTGAACACAACGAGCAGCATGTTACTGATATTAAGATGACACTGCACACAAAGCAAAGCGTGCAAAAGCAAGACCGCCTAATGTCTGACAGCTGCTGAGAGAGACTTCCAGCAGCATCCAAAAACATACCTTCCCCGTTCTCTACGTCTGCCTCGCCAAGGGCAACTCCCCTGGCGCGCACCCCGTGGTTGGGCAGTGTCACCTCGACAGCACACAGGTACTTCACCGATCGCTGCTGTAACGTCCTGCCCAGCTCCTCATTCTCACCGTCAAAGCCAGACACGTTCTGCAGCTGTTGGGAAGACCACAGATAGTCAATTTTGGCTAAAGAGGAAGAGGATGTTACGATCACTTATGCCTCTGCCTGCACGGCACAGACCTTCTCTGCACAGCAGAGTGTGACTCCAAGGGAGAAACATGGAGTTGAAGCAGAGCAGGGATGTTTGCTGGTTTTACCTTGTTTTAGAAACACCCCATCCTCTGAGTCTCAGTTATCTCAGTCCCTCTCAGCACACAAAGACTACTGTCAGGCCCTGATTTGATCACAGCCACTCCATTTTTATTAATGCCAGTGCCCTCACATGTAGCAATCTTCTCTCCCCAGAAATATCCTGACTTGTAGTCCAAAACGCAGCCCTTGTAGCTGTCCATTATTTCCTGGTTTGAGGACAATTCTCGTTCCAACCACTCTCATCAAAGAAGAGGATGAAGGGAAGGATGACGGACAAATAGAAAGGGCCCCTTACTGTGATGATGCGACTGGACCAACCGTTAAAGCCAAAGTAGTGGTTGGCCAACTCTTGGCACTTGTTGCTGCTGAGAGCAAGGACTTGTTGCTGAAACCCTTTCTGCCTGGTGCAAACACAAACCTGTCCAGGAAAGAAGAAGTAGGTTAGCCAGGCTCTGCTTGCAAGGTTCCCACTGTCGATGGTGCTGCGAGAGCAATGGTAACCTATTCCCTGACCGCGTGAGCACTTCTGGAATTATTCCAGAGGAGAGATGCTGTCATTTTACTGCTTAACCATTACCTGAGTGGGGGGATGTCACCACGGTGGAAACACACAGCCCCAAATTTTTGCACAGGGAACATCACTGAGCTCAACAGGTATTTCACATGATTTTACCTGGCTGCTGGAGGCCACGGTGCTGAGTCCTTCGTGTCTTGCTTACCTTCAAGGGAGATTCCTGAAACAGCTTTTGCCCGTTGCAGGCGCCCTGGGCTCTGCTGGCATCTCTGGCTGAATAAAATTTGATGATGGCGTAATAGCCGGGCCCCGCCACGGCGGCATTTCTGTGCACTCGCACCGAGTACAGCGGCCCAAATTTGGAAAATGCTGAAAACAGGGAACGCTGAGGGGGAAAGGAGAGAGAAAAGAGTCTTTTGAAATATCTGTGGGTTAGATATCTATGGAGCATCTTTCGAAATATCCATGGGGCTGAGCAACGGTGACAGTGAGCTCTCCCAAGAGAAAATGAGGAAAGTTTTCAGTACTCTTTAGCAGCAGTAAGAGCCGGAATAAGTCGTGAGGCTGAAGATGAATATCTCTCCATAAAAATAAGCTCAACCTGACTGGATTTCTGGCCCTGACCTGCATCAGGAGTGGAGCAAAGATAGACTTTTGGGATTTTCTGTCCCCCTCTGCCATCATCCTCCTCCCCAACTGCCCCACGCTTTCGGCCATCCTTCCTGTTTGCCAAAACTTTCAGTTTGGGTATTTTTCAGCTGGGGTTTCATTCCCTTTTCCACCTGGTGTTGGTGTTTCTGTAGTTTTGCTGCACAGACCACAAACAGACCATGGCAGAAATCACCCTGGGGTGGCCCCTGGGGGCTGCCCTCCACCCGCCTCAGGGGGAAAAGGGGGCCAAAGAAACTAGAAAAAAATAAAGATTAACCCCCTCCAAAAACCAACAGTGAGGGATTGAAAAAGTAGCACACATATAAAGCCTTAGCTCCAGGGGAAAGTGAAGGATCATGGCGGGGGTCCCGGTCTCCCCGGCCTGAGCAGGGGGTCCCAGGTCCCACTCCTCA